AACTTTTGAAAGGGTTTACCTCGGCAGTGTATATATATATATATATGCAAATGTATACGCATGGAATATGTTCAGAGATTTTTAGACAAATAATGGACAAAGATATCCAACCAGCACATTTAAAACGATACCATTTCAATGGATTTGTATGTGCATCTTGATGAATTGCTTGTTGCTGTTTCCAAGCCATGCAGTACACGGTATGGACTGAGACTAGGATGACTAGGTTTGCGCTCTTTGAATATGGCCAAGTATTGCTCTGCATGTGCGTTTGGTGTTCCAAAAGGTAATTTGCTGGAGCGAGGCCAAAAGCAATCGATATATACCTATAAGATTGGTGCCAAAACCTACAAATTTGCTTTGCTAGACCCTGGCCCAGATGCCCAATACTTCCGAGTGGAAGAAGCGGCAACGACAATGGCTGCTGCTGTTTCCACCGGTAATGTGATGTAATATGTGATGTTCCTTGGAATCGATACCGGAACAAGCATTCCAGCATGTTCCAGCTATTCCATTTGTTCACACAATAGTTTTGATGATCGCTCATTTGGTACACGAGTGGACCACTGGAAGGTGCCAACTTTATGCAGCCTTGCTCAGGATTGATGACGAGTTCCGCTTCCGCAAGGCGGTTTCCATCTTCCTTCTGAGATTGTTGCATAATTTTTGTCATTAGACGCATGCAACCATGTCAGGCACACTTGGAACAAGCATGGCTTTGGGAAAGTCCTTTGTTCCGAGCGACGGCCAGGCAGATATTCGGGATATGTTTCTGCATGAGCTTGAATGCTGCAGAGCAAAAGCAACAGCACTCATCATTAACAAAGGGCTTTGGCTTTGACAAATTCAAAGTTGAAGAGTTTGAGACAATACATGTTCGGTCTCAAGGCTATGAAGTCGGTTATGATTTTCCTGTCCATCTCGTCCTTGAACTTGCCTCAGACCTTCTTGTTCGTAGCATCGTAGCACGGATGGCCTTTGTCATATCCTCTAAAGTCCATATGCTCCCATATTTATCGCCAGTCCTCGTAGATGTCGTCGGTCAAGGTTTGGAGTTTGGAGAACATAAGACCTTTTCCTTTCAGCACGTCGTAGTAGAAACTATGCATATGAACCTTGCTCAAGTCCAGAATGGACATTCCTAGGACCAGCGAGGTTTTCATTGATGATGTGACAGTTCTTGTAGTTGGGGTTGTTGACGCACTTTAGCATCCTCGCCTGTGTGACCACCAGTTCATAAACTATGTGATTTTTGACGTTCTCCATCGTTTTGAGGAGGTTCTCTTCAACCTTCATATTTTCGGGCGCCAGCGGATAGTTCGATGTTAGGTCGTGTATCTCCTTTGGATACTCTAAATCAACCTCCAGTATCTAGGCGGTCGTCGTTCTCCTTCCAGTTCAGTATGTTCTTTTCCGTCAGCGTCAGCGGTTTCTTCGCCAATTTCACCTTTCCCGTGGGCAATATTACTTAACCTGGAGGACAATGACAGCTGTGTACCATACAGACAAGTACCAAGTGTTTATTAAACTCTTGTGAGCAGCTTGCTGAGCTTGGGCTGGATGAGCCACCTAGTGATCTAGTGGCCAATCAGCCGTGGGCCGTCGGCATTCCCTAAAAGACTAGGAACCAAATGATTACAGTAGTGGAAGCATGAGCTATCCTGCGCCCAATTACTAGTAGCTGACCTAGCCTAGTAGCGTGTTTACATTGTTTACTGCCTTACTTGATTAGGTAGGCGCCTACTTAATCAAGTAGGAGGGCAGGAGGAGCGGGCTTAACATTGCAAAAAGAACACGCTTCAATTTTCACGATCGGAGCGAACTGCAGGCGTGCCTTGGCGCCACTTCCAAAGATCAAGCACCTGTCAGGTGCGGATGCGTTCTTTTCTCATCGGATGTGTTCCCTTCTTCCATCTTCACCCCCTTGCAGTTTCTGTTTTCACCCTTGAAATGGAGTGACGATTGAAATATATTGAGATGAAGGAATATCATGGCATATTGTATCGATATTGTGCAAGCTTCACTGGTTGCACTTCCAGCATATGCTTCTGAATCTTCACTCGGCTACAGCAATTTGAAGGCTCAAATGGAGAACACGTGCATTTGCATGATCCTGGATGTATTTTCCAGACCACTGCTATCGGATGTTTGTTGTCAACCTCCTCCGACAGCAAGTCCCAGAACTAAGTTGATTGCTCGCTCCCGAACATGTAGACTATCAACGAGAACTACTGCAGCACCATAACAAGTCTGCAATAGTCGTAGTGTCGAGCGTAGCCACCAGGCAACAGTTGTAGCAGCAGCTTAACAGCTTGACGCGACCGGCATGCCGATCGAAAGAAAGACCCATATCCCGTTTCCGTGACAGCAAGAAGCTGCATGAAGGTCCAAGTCATCCTCATGCTTTTTTGGCCGTAATGCCAGAGAATGCCATGCAGGCTTGCAGTCACCCTCAGTTCATCGTTTTTCAGGTCAGAGGTGAAGTTCATTCCCTACACGTCGATCCTGAAGTTGCCCGTTCCATGGCCACGATGTCAAGAGATTGGCGCCTTGACTTGGGGCGCTTCAGGGTCTATCCTCACGAAATGCCTCAGAGGGTGCGGCATGCCATGCATGCCATGATTGGATAGTTTTCATCTAAACCTCCAGCCCCTGTCGAGTCGGCAAGGAACATGGCCCAGCGTTTTGGCAAATGCGTCCACGTAGACTCCTGATTAATCAGGAAGCACCAACCATTTCCTTTATATGGCTTAAGAGGGACAGAGCAAGATATGCTAGCTATTTTTGGTGCAGCATGTACTCGCGCAAATTAGAATGTTGGATATGTTGGTTTCCGCCCACAGCTTATATGAATTTCCCTAAACATCCAGGAACCAAATCATTAGTGCGAGCGCTTCTTCAAGGAAGCTGCCACCGCTGCCTTTAGGATCCTTTAGGGCGGCAGGGGGAGCTTCCTTGAAGAAGCGTGCGCTACCCTGCTTCCATACTAGTAGCTACTCAGGCTACTAGCTACCTCTCCCTACTCGCGGCCTACCCCCCTAAACAGAAATTATTCTTTTTGCAATGTCTTGGACTTCTTCAAGGGCTTCATATGGTCCCATCCATTGGTTGGTGTTCAGAGCCTGGCTTCAGGTCACCTGCATGAGAAGCCGGTGCCTGGTGACAACATCGTAGTGATCTCGCAGGCTCAAAGCTCAATGGCGCTAGCAAACTTCAAGTGAAGTTTGATGGTCTCGGATTCCTTCAAGCTTCAACTTGTGACCTGACAAGCATAAACCAGTTGAGCGTTGAGCACAATGTGAGGGATCAGCTGACACACTGGCAGGCATGGTCCTACCAGCTGCATCCAGACCCCAGGGGACACTCTGTGGAAACCGTGTGCGCTTTGTTGAAGAAGGCCGTGCCTTGGTAGATCAAGGAGGAAACCCAGCCGTTGGCCGTGGAGCCGTCAAACACAGCTCCTAAGGCGATGGTCCTGCGCACCGGAGGCACACCGGGTCAGCAGAAACAGGACAACGTGTTAGTCCACGCATGGCCGAAATGATTGGACTTTGCTAAGACAAGATGTGACCAGATGTATCAAAGGGATTCCAATTTAAGGTGTCACATTTTTGCGTTGAATGCGGCGGGCATTCTTGTTGGCAAAATGTGTTTTTCTATTTGCTTGCTGCTCTCAAGGTCGCATGCTGGTTTTTTGCGAATACCTTTGTATGCCTCAACCTCCGATCACCAATCAGCAGAAGTTCCTTGGCAATTAGACGCAAAAGTTCAGGTGCACAAGAGAGCTCCTTTGCACTGGCTCACCAAGAGCGCCCCCTCCTTCAGATCGTATGTACATATAAGTACTGTATATATAGTTATATGAATAAGAGTATCTTCATTTATGTTGTCATATAGTACATGCACTTTGTTATTTATATAGCTGCTATGATAAAAGTAACATGTACCTACCGACACATCAACGTACTGACATACGCGACGCACATCACAGCAGGTCACTATCGCAGGAGGAACAACACGTGGTGATCAAGGTTGGGAACGGGCGTTTTTGGTCATCCCTCCCCGGGCGTTTTTGGTGCAGTTCATCCCTGTAGGTCTTGGAGTTCATGCCGCACCTGACCTTCAACGCTGATGCAGTGATCCACATATCGACTGCAGATGACTCCCCGACACCAGAGGATGGGCAGCTGGACAAGCTGAAACGATATTGTTGTTTTCGTTCGTTTGCTCGGATACGGTTTCCAAAGGTTCTGTGAAACTGCGAATGAATGTTTGGTTGCACAAGGTTACAATATTGAATGTACTTTTAAGTAATCCATTGGGAGATGCATTGGCTCCGACAGGACAACTATAGCGTCTCAACAGAGATCCTCAAGAATTCATGTGTCCGGCGATTGGCAGGTTTTCAACCTCTTCCTGTGGACTTGCCTAAGTACAACGATATCCGATAGCAATACGAAGGCAACCATTTACGAGACCCTTGATTTGTATGAAAGTGTTAGACTTGTACAGAAGACGGCTGGTTTGTCAATGATGTTCACCATGTCAGGTCTTGCGGCAACTTGGAGATGTTGTTCAAGTGGAGGACATGTGATGCTAGCCGCCAAATGACACGACATGTTGTGACAGACTTTCTGCCCATGGCACAGGTACAGTAGGCACTCCTCAATGCGGCTAAACTCTATATAATTATATATATATATATTTACAGTATCATTAACCATCAAGAACAGGTGGTTATAAGTGTGAGGTCATACAAGGTCATTGACACAGATGGCAAAGCAGACACACTGCAATTTTTACTTTGCGTTGCTTGGTTTCCAGGAGCTTCGGCGGGAGGGCAGCCCCTTGATGCTGTGACTTATCCAAAGCTTGAATTTGCTTTATACGCAGTGTGGTATGAGAATGCTGTAGCCAATGGAGTTCAAGTCGTGGCCCCCAGTTCAGGTGTCGGTGTTGTTATGGGTATATTCGCGCATCGGTTCAGGTATGACCAAGTCATGGCCATCAATGGGCATGTTATTACCTGCATGGAGGACCTTCCAGAGGCGTGGCAAAGAGCTTTCGGATCAGTGAGCCATGCCACAGAACTTGGGCGCTGCTACCACTCCCAATCCACTCCCAACGAGGCACAGGTAGGAACTCAGAAATGAGAGTTGTCGAGGAGATCCGAACTGGGAAGCCAAGCGCTTGTTCCAGTGCTTGTCAATCTGTTGCCCGGCGGACCTGGTCTGACATGTCTCGCTGGGCGACGAATGCTTGCACGTCACTTTTGTATTTGTGGTACTGGCGCCAAAGCTCAGGTTTTTCCAAGCTTCGCCTCGTACTGGTGGCAACCTACAGCAGCCTGGCTGGCGTCACTATGTGTTGCGTGCGCGTTTGTGTTTGCACAATAGTGGGCAGCGAAGACGTGTTGTCAGCGGGATAATTAAGATAACTGTTACAAAAAATCCATATACTGGAACACACTGGAACTGTCAAGGTTTCCCGCTTTCCGTAGAGGTTTTGGAAGCTGATCCCTCACTGGAATCATACCAGAATCATGTTCGATCGAAAGTGACTGAGGCTATGATGTCACGAGCTCCATATGGTTACAGGTGTGGCAACATCGCAGCCATTTCAGCACTAGTGCCAGCACTGTCCAATCATGTCGGATTCATATGTATTACTTGGTCTTGGCTGAGAGCAGTTTCATTTCATTTGTGGTCAAATGCACGTGGATCGTTGTGTGGCCGGCTGCAATATCTCATTGTCCCCAGTTGAAGTTCAGTCCAACTGGCCACAATCATCCCAATCTGTTAAAGCATTGCAGATCTGGCGGCTGTCCTTAGTGTGATGAGCAGTGCCCGTGAAGCCCGTTCTCCAGGATACACGTTCCAGCCGAAGAGCAGGGCCACATGTTTTTTAGCAACTTTATCAGCATGGTCAAGGTGGCGATGATGGAGGATTGCTGGGCATGAGCCGACATGAAAGATTCTGAAAGTGCAGAAAGCATGAGCGAAGTTCCTTGATAACTTGTGGGGCTGACTCAACGGGATCCCTGCGTCGGGAGCGCTGCAACCCACCCCTGCAGGAAGCTTCTGCGCAGGAGGTGATTTTTGCAAATGACCCGCAGGTGCTTAGTTTTGTGTCCAAGTATATAAGTGCCAACTGAAGAAACACATTTGAAAGACAAATAGTAAATGGAATCCACAGCGCATTCTCATGAATTCCAGTCCTGCACACCTGAAGGTGAAATTCGATATTCTGCGAGGCGGCTCTCGTCTTCGACGGGCAACTCAAGAAGGCGCTTCCAAATGAGTGCTGTTGCTCCATGTTACTCCCCCTCCTGAAAAGCTTGTGCAGCTGTCTTTGGCTTTGGCCTCAAGTAGGGAAACGCCTGATGTTGGTTGATGGGTGGATGCTTGCTGCTTGAGTGTGTGTTGGCCATGGCTGTGGGCTGTCAGCTTCAAATCAATATCCCTATACTGCCTAAACGACCTGGAAACATTCAATGAACCAGAGCCGTGCTTTGGCCGCTTCAGCATGTCTCTTTCATCGCTGCGGGGTATCAACTGCAGACCGAGTTGACTAAATCTGACATCAAAAGCCTTTGGTCACGAGGCCCAGACGCTTTGGCAGTTGAACTGCAAACCTTCACACAAGAGTTGGAAAAGAAGACCTTCCTTCCAGTGTCTTCAGATGCTTGGTGGAAAGGAGCAAGTGGTCATAGGCCTAAAGGCCAAACTCCAAAGCAGCTGCGGTTAAGATTTCAAGACAAACAAGCTACCGTCGTTGGTCCTGCGTAGCTACACAAATACCTCTCACCAGCAATATTGTGTTGGGTCACGCATCTTGCATCAACTGGCAGTTCAAACACTTACGGGACCGAGGACATGGCCCACATGCATCATGTGGGGTTGCACCACTCGGCACAAATGCCTACTCCGCTAACGGACCATGAAATGGTCAGCCATTTGATGCAGATCTTCGTTGAGGCGCTGGCTATTTGCCATGAGACAACGGATGACAACGACATGCATACGGTATGTAGCTTTCAGTTGTTACTTGGTTGTGTACCTTTGCCACACACTTCAACGATTTTGACTAGTATGTATTATGGAATATGTCCTTCATCTTTGGAAACGCATAAAACTCAGGAAATCGGAACGAGGAACAAGGGCAAGGCATTCAGATTCAAGTCCCTAATATATATCTGTTTCAGTTGCTCGAATCTTGATCCTCGTGTTTGGCTGCGCATTGAATACTGCCAGAACTGAACATAGACAAGGATCTCACGTGCAGTACTTGTAGTGCGGCGCTTTTGTGGCTGTATATACGTTCCTGCATCGAGCTTGTAGAGTCAGCTGCCAGCCGTGTCGTGCCTGGTGATATTGAAACATAGCCGTTAGACATCATATACATCATATTATGAAGGTTTTATGCGATGCGATGTCATTTGTTTGTGGCCAATTGTTTGATTGGAAGGAACTCGCAATCGGAGTGTCCCTGCCACTTTGGCGTGCTGTTCGAGAGGGAAACCTGGAGGACGTGGCTTACTTCAGAGTGACAGCATGTCCGTCACGCAGCGGCACACGGCTTGAATAAGTAATAATACGTAATAAGTATGAATGAATCTGCAATGCATGAAGTTGCTTTGTTCTTCGGAGGACTGCCAACACCTTTTGCAAGATCAAGCCGATCCCAACCTGTCTGATGGCAAAGGGCCTTCCAGTTGCATTGCAGTTCTGCGGGCATTCCATGTGCAGGCAGCATAATAGACAATTGCGGACAATATCGCACTGAACAAAAGAACAGTGATGTGCTTTCGTTGCCGGCAAGTGTGCCATCATGTTCTCCAAGATAAGATATCTTCATTTGCACCACAAGACTGGAGACGTACACATGCTGGTGATTGTGCACGATTAGTCTACAAGGCATCCCCAATAGGTCGTAAGAGCAGCAGTTGGAGTTGAGTTTGCATGAGCAAGACTAGCCCTGTTCCCAATGTGTTTAATTTATAATTTCAGATGACTGGAGACTAAGGACAACAGCCCTTCACATTGCAGCTGAAAGTCGCTCCACACAGGCCTTTGAGTCGCCACAGTTACTAGAGTCAGCAGGATCATGTGCTCATATGGATTGGTTGTTTGCAGGCTCGAAGGTCGTAGAGGCATATAGGTGAAGGAAGCCATCCTGCCAGGTCCTTCGGCTTTTGCTGGAGCATGGCGCATCGAGCACCGCTAAAGACCATCGGGGACGAACACCAGCACATTGTGTGACGTTGAGCCAGGACCATGACAGTGGCGTTGATTTGCCCTCGCGATGCTAAGTTTCACATTATATTTATTACATATATAGTTAATTTGTAGAAAGAAGAGATGCTGACAGATTTGTCAATATCTCACATTGTCAGACCCAGATGCCTGCGTTTGTCCCACAATCCGGCAGATCTTGACAATCGTTGTGATTCATTGTGCAACTATCACGCCCCTATTGAGGACCCCAAGACTGAAGAACTTATCGAGCTTTTTATGGAGGACTGATTTGGCATAGCATGCTGCCATGCAGAATTGCTAAGCGTGACTCGGAACCATCCACGTTCATTGGTTTCACCCTGCATCACACTGCTATGTAATTGTTGATGTATCACTTTTCCAACTGTGCGACACTTGCAACGCGGCTTCAATCAATTTACACAACCTGACCTGATCTTACAGATCTTACAGGACTCTGCATCTTTGCAAGTGAAAAACAAAGCCGGTGTTTCTGCTCCTTGGCAGGTTGCCGAAGTCAAGCCAGACGTTATATATATATAGCCTTTTCAAGTCGATTTTACACAGCTTAGAATGTGCTAGTTCGTGTCGGCTAGTTTTGCAAGATTTGACAGCAGACCATGGGCAATCAATGTTTTGCTGAAAGGTTCTCTCGCTTTTAGGTCTTTGAGCGATTCTACCTTTGGTCCTTGAGTGCACTGGATGGGGAGCCATTTGAACCTCTATCAACCCGCCTTCGAAACTACGCAGGTGCGAGAAGTCGACTGAAAGCTTTTGTCAGTCAAGTGTGGTGAGTGTGCTGTGCGTGTTCTTCATTTGGGTTATGAAGTTATGATAATTTATGCTCAACGATCATGCACAGATGTCTTGAAGCATTTGTTTTATCATGAAACGATTTGAGGCTCTCATTTCATTCCTGGTTTGCCAGAGCTTTGGCATGTCGGAGTCCAATCTTTGGGTTCTGCATGTCCACGTTCCTTAGACTCTGTGGTGGACCAAGTCCGACGAAGCTCGACAGCACACCGGTGTAACAAGAAGCTACTAGTAACAAGGGGCATCGCTACTAGGAGCAAGGACACTACTAGTAGCTCCACAGCGCCATCCTCTCGATCAGATCAGCCCAGGAATAAACATCAATGGGACGATGCGCACAGTGCACGTGCTTCTTGGATTGCATCGGGTGTTCACTTCACGAAACTTCCAGTGGACAGCCTGTAGCAATCAAAGTGTGACCTGTGTGCTGTTGTTTAGTTTAACATAACAGCTTAACTTTAACTTGTATAACTCTACCCCACGTATTCAGGATGGTGTCTTTCGGTCTCAAGTTCGATAATCAAGTTTTCAGCCATTGCCATGTCGGTTGTCGTGGCCTTGTGTGCAAGCGAGTTTAGAAAATCCAGTGCAGGCTAGTACCTTCGCACACGACAAAAGACGCATGGCTGCAAAGAATACGATATTCCTTTTGTGCCCTGTGGTGAAACAAAGGGTTCCCTTGCAGAAACTCTTCGCAGCCACACTGTCGATTGGTCAGTACCACCTTTTGCTTTGAAGGAACCTTTGCTCTACCTGGGCTTTGGGCGTCTCCTGCCCTGGTCACTGCAGGAGAGAAAGATATTAATATAATTTAATATATCGTTTGTAGTCTCACTTTGGCTTGGCATTGGGCCTTCGACTTGTGGATGACATTGCAGACCTCCAGGTTCAGCAAGACTGCACATGCAGGCCCAACAAAATCGAGAAAGTGAAATGAAGGGACGTAGACGCAACCTGAACCTAACGGTTCAAAGCTGACCCTTGCTGATCATCAATACCACAAAAATCCACAAAAACTGGCAGTGGCAGTTGGACCAACGATCATGAGAGATCATCAGATATCATGGTTGCACTTAGCCGTAGAATGCTGATTTTGGTCGCTGTTGATATCTACACATTGCATTCTTTGCGGCGAGTTATGATCCGGGTTGGGAAACAAGGACGTTCCTGCCGAGATTCTTAAAGTGACGAATTTGCACATTTGTCCCAACCCATCCAGCAGATGTCGGGCGCCCGTAGCTGCTGTGGGGCGAGATGAATTTACTTATTGGTTTTCGCGGATTGAACTCACGCAGCCGTTTAAATGTATCACTGTATCGCATGGGAATGAGCGGGTCCGCTGTCTCAACCTACTTGTGCTCATGATATTATTTTCAAAACTCAAGTTTTCTAAAGCTGTGAGCAGGAGCCTGCCATGAAGATGCTGGCCTACGAACAGGGCTGTGATATTTTTTGCATTGGATGCGAAGCGGTGGCTTAGTTCAAAGCCCAACTCTCTCGCCAGCGGTGGGGCTTTCCTCAAGAGATATAGAGATGAGATTAGTATTGTGATGATGCCAAGATTTCAGGTGCCCCAAGGCCCCAAAGGCAAGAGATTTGAGCAAAAGGATGTACCAGAGGCACGCCGCACTTGTCCGAGGTGCTTCCAAATCTTTTGGAAGAAGATACTGAAGACCCTGAGCACGAGGGAGAGGCTTTCTACAATGACCTTTTCCACTTGCCTCTCAGCCCTACAAAGTCACAAGCTTTCGCAACGGGATTGGGAGAAAAGAAGTGATGGTGGACGAGACATAGAGCCACATGGGGCTGTCGTGGTTGGCTTTTTTCTTTGCTTTTTGCACTCCTGTCATCAAACATGTGCCATCCTAGTCTCTCATGTGATTTCGAATTCTGATGAATTCTGTGCCGAAAAACCCGATAGAAAGCCCTATTGAAACTGGCCGCATGTTTGGTGGTTGGTGCACTGTGCTCACTATGACCCAACAATATCCTCAGGATAGATGCTCTTCCACTGACCTACCGCTTCTACTTATGTGCTTCATGGCAGCAGATGTATACAACGGAGACACAAATTGAAAACACTTGAACATACGATTTAAAATCACATATTCCATATCAAATCATATCAACAATTTATCAACACATGTATCCTTCATGTTTTGGCAGCCAAAAAAGACACTGCTGTTGCTCTAGTACTAGTGCCTTGCCTCTTGGAAAGCTTGCTTCAGCTGGGTTCACCAGCTGGGTTTGGGTTCACGAGCCGCCATGAGCTTGCGACACCAGCCAGGATAGCACCTATGGCCTTGCTTTGCCAGTGCTGTGGAAGCTCTGGGACCGTCTTAGTGGGGTCAGGGACCCTAGTCGTTGCTGCACGAAGCTATAACATGTGGGTATATCGATTATATCATTATCGGTATCGGTATATGAGTATATCCTTTTAGTGTGCCATCATGCAGAAGTCAAACAATAACTAAGAAACAAACCTGGCATGATTAGTTGCGTTGGCAGATAGGATTCTTCACAACGTTCCATTTGCACCGTTGTTTGATTTCCTCAGGTCTTGGCCATAAACCCCAGCTGGATTTTCAGACGCTTGGCCGCAGGGCCGACCCAAATCGAGAAAGGCGCTAAATGTGTACTAAAAGCCTCAGCATGGTCCAGCGTCCCAATGCTGTGTTTGGTTGAATTGTGAACATGGCAAGTAGAGTATGATATAGCATTTCTTGTTCTTGTACGATCAGTAATGGCTTTTTGGTGCTTGCTATGTCCTGCAGATGCCAACACTACGAATGACGTGACGGAGCACATCTTCAGCCGAGCCGCAAAGCTGTCAGATATTGCTAGGCCGGGACCGGGACCTCACCGTAGTTTTTTCCCCATACATACATACATATATAATATATAAATATATTTTATGTTAATATCCAAAGTGCACCATACTTGGGTCGATTGTCATGTTTTTTGATTCATTGCTGCTTACAATTGGAAGTATGGTTGGATGTTTGGCAGACAATATGTCAGGAGGAAGAATGTTTTTCCTTCTTACCAGTTCAGACAACACCTATGTGGACCAGCCGCAGTCGAAAAGAGGCAGTCCATTTCGCGTGGCCAGTGGGGGATGGTCACTTTAATGTATAACAAGGACGCTACTAGGAGCAAGGACGCTACTAGGGGCTCCTGGCCTTACTACTAGGAGCAAGGACGCTATTAGGGGCTCCTGGCCATACGACTAGTAACAAGAAGCCATTAGAAACAAGAAATAAACATAAATAGAATTAAAGATTTTCAGAGGGAGGAAGTTGTTCGACCGCTTGAGGTGCCATAAGCCTGTTGCAGGATGCTAGGGGACGGGACCCTATGTTGGGCCACTGGCTACCGGGGCTGTGATTGTCCGGTGTCATTTTTGTCATTAGGCAAGCCACGCGCTGGCATGCACTGTGGCAGCAATGGTCACGGTCACGGTGTGGTGGGTTATCTACACCACTAGGAAACGAGTTTTTTCTAGAAGGTTCCAAATACTGTAAACGACTCCCCCTATTAATCCATCCCAGCTGCCCCAGAAAAACAAAAAAACATAGTTTACTACTATATTTGCTAATATAGTTCTTTCTTGTTTACTTTATTTTTTGGCTGTAATCCAGTGTTGAGATTACATCATTACAGTAATACACCAAACAGAACTGCAACACACAACATGTGACAACGGACAAGGACAAACTTGCGACAGAAAACAACAGACAATGACACCTAATTGCAACGTCAAACGCAACAACAACGCACTCTAGAAACCTTCAAGGGCTATTCCTCCGAGCAGGTTCTTATCACCACCGCATAGACCGTACTTTGGAGCAAACCCTGGTGCATTGTATAGCAAATTGATTGCTTTGTGTTTTCTTTCTTGCTTTGCCGTAAATTTGGGTGTTTTTGCAGGCACCGTGATGTGAAGAAGTTGAGCAAAATGATCCTTGGACAGCAGACCAACCCGCCGATATTTTGGGTCCACTTTGAGGCCTTCCTGCAGTTGGACCTTGTTTTATCATTTTGCTTTTAGCCCGCTCCTACTTATATAATTTAGTATAGTTAGGTAAGCGCCTACTTAAGTAAGGTACTGGGCGCTCCTAGCTAGGACGCAGATAGCTCACGCTTCTTCAAGGAATCCTTGAAGAAGAGCTCGCACTATATAATTATTTGGTTCTTAGACTTCTAGGGAAACTTAACTTACCACTGTGATTCAGTGTGGGAGGCAACTGTGGCAGATTGTTGTGATCAATGCAGATGGTCAACAGCACGAACACGGCAAGACCACCACATACTATTCTTCAGTACTGCAATTACTTTGTGTGACGCAGCGAGAGGCTCAAGATGCTAATGATGCTGGGTAGGTAAGGGAATGTAGTTTGATTTTTGCTCCGAGGCTTTGTGACTTCTCCATCGCACCCTCCTTGGCAAAAGCATATTTCTCTTTGCCGCAGAGTGATCAGAATGGAGTTGCTACTTGCCTGGAAAGTTGATGTAACAATTGAAGATTAAACTTGGAGTGTAGAGTTGCTGTCAGTCTGAACATCGTTTGTAGGGTCTAGGCTGCCATGCCATTGCACTCGAGACCACTGTGTTTCCCGAGCGCACAGCGGTGATATACTGTAATTCTGGGAACTTGTACGCTCGCTCTCAAGACTATTCAAACATGACACACACACACACACACTGAGATTGTTGCTCGCAATAGCTAGGATCAGTATGAAGTTCCCCTTGACTTGATGGAACGGAAGGAACGATAACCGAAAGGTGGCTGGGTCCAAAGATTTGGAGATGTTTAACAGTGTCTCGAAATGCATTAGCCGTATTACTGCAGGAACTGAAAGAAAGCTGGGTCGGAATACCAGAAATGTTTAACACGGGTGAGACGATGAGTTAAAATTGGCCTGCAGGTACGTGACTCTGGCGTCCCAGAGTCATATCACATCCGATCAGCAGTGTCTTTGTTAGGCAGTGACTGCTGAAAGGACCACTGCCCCCCTGCCTCTTTTTTGCGTTGAGACACTGTAAGTTAGTAGCGATACCAGG